CTCAATCTGTCTGTGCATTATCCAAAACCCCATCAGTGAATATATACATACTATAACATGTACAGTTCACAACTAATATCAGTCCATCTACCAAATTCTTTGCTAGAATTATGCCAATGATAATACATTCAAGGAAAATGAACATGATAACATTGCACAACAGTCACAATTAGCATTCCTAACACATTGTAGCTATATACCAAATATTTGTGACAAGAACCTTTTATGTACCAAATAGAACCATTTCATTAAAAAAAAAGATCCTAAAGAAGGCAGAAGTTGGTAAGTTCCATGAAAAAACAGCTCTGTGCCACACATGCATGCACGCACATATGCATGCAGTGATTGCGAAAGCCGTCGGACCACGGCCATATGCCGGCAAAAATTCTGTGGGCTGGAAAACCCTTATAACTCATCGGCCCACATGACCGACGGACTAAAGTTGATTTCTTTTACAGACACCGACTCATATCTGAATTTATCGTAAAGCTCTGAGTACGCACTAGGCGCAAGTAAAATTTTAAACTGCGCCATACTGGAGCGTACAAATACATGTAGCAAACACTATTTTTTGTAATAAAGATCTTCATACATTATGATGTCGCTCGAAGTGCGCATAGAGATGCCGTGAGGGCTGACATGTGACCCGTTTCACCAAAAAATTATCGAAACTGAAACAACTACAGGTCAATGAAAAACGTACTGCTCAAGACACTGAAAACGGGCCGCTCAAACTGCTTACGACAGGCCGCGCACGGACCTCTGAGAACACCTAACTACATGTGCTGGGTAAACAAATATGGCTTCCATCGCACCGCATGTTGAGTAACCGATAAGTGAAAAAGAGAAATATTCATTTGCTTTTTAGATGGGTGCTCTTAACTAATTTAAATGGATATTTTAAGTAATATTGCATCTTTAGCGGCGCTATGTGTCAAAATGAAGGACAACATCATTTTCAGTGCGGAAAATTTGCAATGGCACAGTCAGGATGCAAAACTGTCTATTAATTCATCTAAACGAACTAGCTTAGCCTTAGATATTGAATAAAAATTATTTTCAGACTCTGGCCCGTAGCCAGGAATTGTTCAATTACAAAAAATAGTTCGAAAGAATCGCCCCTTTTGCTGACTAAAGGTTCACCCTTGGTAAAATTTGATCTAGGTACATGACGTTTTTGTGGAAAAAAGACCCCCCCCCCCTTTTAAAATTGCCGACTACGGGCCTCCTATGAGAGCAATGGCTTTTTTTACAATAAGAATGGGAATTGTCTACCTTTTCCATGTAGTGCAATTATTTATTCTGAAAGATTTTTCCATTAAGTACAATTTTTTGGACAGTACAATTGTTAATTTTGGTAGATTTTTCCATACACTACAATTATTTAGGACTTCAGAGTAGAAGCATCAAGTTTTTTATTGTTTTTAATCATATAAAAATATTGAAATATAATGAATTTTCTCTAAATAATTCACGGCACACATTTTTTAAAAATGGCCCAATTTCTTTTTTTACCAAGTGGGCCAAAATGGCCCAACCAGATTTTGACCCAGGACGATCCCTGCTAACAGACAAGCATTTTCCAATAGTGAAAATCTAAAAAAAAGTTAGAAAAGTTGGAAGCTCCACTTTACTATGACTTATATTTTAATTTTAGGCAAAAATTGGAATAGAAATTTACAAAGGATACATGATCTTGTGTTAAAAGATTAGAAATTTAGATAAGCAACCCAGATGTAAAAAGGATAAAACTTAAATGCCAGAAAGCATCCAAAATGAAGGATGTTTAAACTTAAATCTCAAATATTCTCTTATATCTGGCCTGAAAATTGAAAAAGCACCGATTTAAAATGCCAGGCAATAACATTCATCAAAAATGAAATGAAAATATACAGCTTGATTATTTTATTGTGGGCCGGTAAAAAAAAGTGTGGGCTGACAAAATTTAGTTTGCTCCAGCCCACATGTCTGGTAAATGTTCAATCTCTTTCGCAACCACTGTGCATGCAAGCACACACACACACACATGAATCATAGCCATCACAACTAACATAATGTATAACTATCTCACAAAACCATTAAAAAATATTCAATTACAGTTCCACATCTTACAAGAAAAAAACTTCTCAAAATACAGTCACAATACTGCGTCATCCAAGCCAGTCAACTGTACTGAATCTTTTCTTCGTTGTTTATACTTCATAAAAAAGCACACGCTGTCTGCCTTCTTCTGGTGTCGCGGCCAATCAGCAACTTAACACTCAATGTGAAATCCGCCACAAATCAATGTTTTCAGTTATCATAGCTAATTATGTGTCTCAGTTTGTTGTTGGCCCTGATTGCCTAAAACAACAACCCTTGGCGGCGGCGGTTTGTGGTGTGGGGTGATTGTTGTGCAGGCGATGGCAAGTTAAAGTCAACTTTTGATTTTGGAAACAGAATCAGGAACCCCAAGGCCATTTGGCAACCAGGGTGTTCCAGTTTAGTTTTTCCTCTTTTTTTTTCAGAAGACAAAGGCTCCATGCTGCCCAACTAGCCTTCAAGTGTTCGTACTATACTTAACTGGAAGGTATTACTATAACTTTTAGTCCTGCTTTTAAAACTGGAATTCTTTTGAATCTTGTTGGATTATTTAGATTTTAGTTTTTGAACTTCACCTGAAAATATTACATACTGTATTACAATATGTAAAACAAAACCATTTTCATCCAAGATCAGCAATTACATCAAAACGGTCAGCCTTAATATGGGTTTTATATGAAAAGTGATTTTCATATATGAGCTAATTATTTATTGATGCTACTGAGAGGCCCGTCACTAGTTCTTCATTTCACGAAGTGCAAAAATGGTAAGCGCACACAGACTCCTTCATTTTGTTTGTTTTTTTTTCCAATTTTAAATGGCATATCAAAACTACTTTTACTCGACAGCAAGTTCTTGAAATCATTTCAGATGAAGGAGTATTTTGATTATATAACTTACCTAACGCAATGTATTGTTTAAAAAAATTGAACCCTCATATCCAGTAAAATAGTTCTCACATTCCTGAATTGCGTGTGCAGCACTGTTGTTTTAAATTCCCCACATTAACCTTTAAAATATTTTTTAGTTTTGTCTCTTCAGGCTACAAGATGTACAGTTCACTTTCTTTTTTTCTTTTAGAATTAACATTTTAGTACAAGAGGGCCTCCTAGCATTATAAGAAGAAAAAAATCTATAATATCAAAATAACTCAGGACTACACAATCATGTAATTTGACATAGTGGCCACCATAGTGCTCCAATCAATATCTTCCTGGATCATGCCATACTGCATAACTCCTCATCTCATATCCTTCAGAAATTGTGTAAAAGGGGACATTTCTTTCCATTTTTACTTCTGAACTTGAATCCTATTTCATAGGTAACCTCCCCCCCTATCCACCCTTCCCCTGCCCCAAGTTCTTTTCACATTTGTTGCAAAAGTCAACAGATTTTGAAACAGAAATGATGCCTTCTACCTTATCTTTTTTTTTTAATCCTTTTTTTATCAAGAAAAAGAACAANGCTTTTTGTCTGTACATTTGACAGCTTTGCTGCCTTGTTTTCTTTTAGAATTAACATTTTAGTACAAGAGGGCCTCCTAGCATTATAAGAAGAAAAAAATCTATAATATCAAAATAACTCAGGACTACACAATCATGTAATTTGACATAGTGGCCTCCATAGTGCTCCAACCAATATCTTCCTGGATCATGCCATACTGCAAAACTCCTCATCTCATATCCTTCAGAAATTGTGTAAAAGGGGACATTTCTTTCCATTTTTACTTCTGAACTTGAATCCTATTTCATAGGTAACCTCCCCCCTATCCACCCTTCCCCTGCCCCAAGTTCTTTTCACATTTGTTGCAAAAGTCAACAGATTTTGAAACAGAAATGATGCCTTCTACCTTATCTTTTTTTTTTTAAATCCTTTTTTTATCAAGAAAAAGAAAAAACACTACATAAAATAGCAATGGTCACATACCCTAAACAAACTTGTCCAGATAAAGTGCTGTTAAGATATAAAACACAGAGCTTTAGATTAAAAATCTATAATCAAAATCAAACCCTTTAACAGTTGTTTATTGTCTCTTCATAATGTCCACACATTCAACATTCACATGTCCATAAAACCAACTGAACCAGTCACCGTGGAATAAATAACCAATTCATAGAGACTGACATAAAATCAACACTGTCTCCCTACTTCCCCTCACTGGCAATACTACTGCTGTCTTTATAATGATGATGACAGATTCATTCACAATTAAGACTAAGTAAAGAACATCAGGAATGAATAAGCTAAAAAGTCAGACAAAGAAATAGCCAACATATTAGAGAAACAACCCCGAATCAGACCAAATAAACAATATAATAAACATAATAAATAAACAAAGTCAAAATAAATATCCAATAAATCAAATCAAATATCAGCGCTAACGAGGAGCTGATAATGTGATTTTTTTCCTGTCTTAAAACATCAAAGACTTCAACCAGGTATTCATGGAGGGTGGGTTAGATTAAAAAACCAAATAAAGACAATTTAAGGGCACACTTGTTGAAAAGTTTTGCCTTGCATCCAGACTTGAGACAACTGTTTATCCTAACAGAGATAAACTACAAGATTTAGGGACCAGAGCCGCACAACATTAGCCTGGAGTGCTTTTACAATCGAAAGACTTTTGGACGGAAAGTTTTAACCTTAATTCTTGCACCACAAATTATTATCTGTCCTTGCATGTGTGTGCAAACAACCAGTTGACAACGTACGTAATTCTTTCCCTGCCTTAAGTTTGTGGTCCCTTGCATGTGTGAAAAACAGTGTGCACGAGAATTTACTCTTGCCCCTTTTTTGCACTAAATTAAATGCATGTAAATGATTTATATGAAATTTTAATCTTTTTGTTTTTTTCATAATTTTTCATTCTGAAGTAAGACCAGAGCTAATTCACATTGGCTACAATCAGTGCTACTTACCATACCGTTACATACACTGACAGCAGCATGAGATTCAGTTGAGTGATGAGACAAAATAGTCCCTGTATAAATGCACTCCACCATGGGAGAAGCTGGGACCCTCTGCATTTCTTTCCTTCTGTGCTTTTTTCTGTATATTTGAAAGCTGGGAGCAAAAAGTTTATAATTTGGTTGTAGCTGTACATGGAACTGTTCTCCAAATGCTGTAATATTGTAATACAGTGATGATGTCGCCGATGAGGTGCTTCGCCTATTGCGTTGCTGTGGAGACAGGTCATGTGACACATACTGGCCATAGTGGTCTACTTGGAATGGTAGTGTAACTTCGAAATCTGTGAAAAAATGTAATATTTATTAAAATTCACAAAAGAAAGATATGCTAGTATACTACTCATAAACTCAAAAAATACTAAATTGAACACTAGATGTTAAGAGCTAGGGAATCTGTACATCTTATTTGTATATCATGTTACATGACTGTATGAAAAATTTGGTACTAAGTTTGTAAACAATACATTATCATTGTTTATAAAAGTGAAATGTAAACCATCTCAGGTAAAAATGTTCAAATAAATTAATGTGCAATGTTTCAGATGATGCTTAAAGAAATAGACACAAAATTCATAAGGTTGTAAATTTTATTGTAAATTTTATTCTTGTTACATCCATGGACATCTATCAATTTATGCTTTCCACCCATGTTGTGGCAATTTTAGGTCTCTGTAATAAACGATAAGGAAAAACTCCTGCACTGGATTTAACATCCAACTCTCAGTGGTAAATGACAAAAGGATCATTCAACACAACAGACAAAGACACATGGCACCCATAAGGCAAAGACAACCAGTGGGTATCTTCACTACAAACTGAGCTGTGGAGAGAAAATAATCATAAAAACAGGGGGTATTCTCCCATTATTTCCTTCTTCAATAATAAAACCATACAAGTTCAAACACAGGTCATCATTGTTTCAGTCATAAAAAAACTGAGATAATATTTTGCTGGTTAAACACATCCCTCACTGTGAGATAACCCCTGCAATATTGCCCCCCTGACTTTCACAGGTTACTGGAAACTCAGCACGCCTCTGCTATTTTTAGTATCAGGCTAGAGACATTCTGATAACAGAGGTGAGTTTACATTGACCCCTTGACACTCAGGGTGCTCTACTGTGACTGGTAAGTGAGACTAGGGGTGTGTTCACAATGAAACTATCGTATCAGATAGTTCAAACTGAAACTAACTCAGTCTCAGTTAAAAAAAGATGCGAAAAAGTTCCAGAAGCCCAACATCAGTGTATGAAATGGCAAGCATCTCGATCCAATAACTCGCCCAAACTCCCCCCATATAATATATTGTAGCCTCTATGTGATATAGCTATTCTCAATAAGCGATGCTTTCGAGATACGGGGCCCTGCAGGACTGTCTATGGGCCATTTATCATGCAGGACCGTTTCCGACCGCTTTAAGTGATATTCAAAGGGACCCTACGTGCTGAATTCTTTCTTCTTTACTGTCAGCACAGAGATAGATCTATTTTACAAGAATATATATGTATTTGCCCATACTTGTTGCTACACAGAAAAGCAAAAATCATGATCAAATGATATCACGAAATCGGAATAAAGGTTATGAATAAATTATTGAAGAAGAAATGAGACTGCCTGCAAGGTGAACATAAACTGAATTGACTACCCCCTCCCCCGCCCGCTAAAGGGCCCTGAAATTTTTTGGTATTTTAGATGGTGAATTGTGCCATTTGGTATGGTTTAGAACTATTATTCAACTAGTGAAAAGTCTTATTTCAAGTCGGTGATTTTGTTTTTGCAGAAATTGATGGGGGGGGGGNGCCTGATTGCATTCAACAAGGGTCTCCGCAGAGTTGGATCGTTCTATACAGCACCAAAATTTTATTGTGAATGCACCCTTTACCTCTCTTTCAAAAGACACAGGCAAGACTCTTTCATTTTTATGTGGAGATAGATACAGAAGTTTTCTATTAGTTCCCACCTCTAAATGACCTTATCAGATTGTGTGTGGTGAGGAAAATGCTGACATAATAACCTGGCAGTGGTCTATATGCGCCTTTCTCTATGGAGGCCCTTATCTGAGTGTGCTGTTTTTTCCATTTTTTCTCTGATAGTGAAATAATTTTAACTTCTCATTTTCTACATGAAATTGTTGAATTGCTCTTCAAATTCAAGGGTCATTTTATATGCTGCATGATTGTGCAAAAGGTATAATTTTCAGTGATTGCTAAAAATCTGTGAACATATCAATTTTTGAAAGAAGGGAAAAAGTAACTCTTGATATTATCTATGATGAATGGTTTCATTGGTGATTCAAAATTATCACACTTATTTACAGAAAAAGTAAAAAAATTGATATTCAGTACATTATATTATTTGAGTTCTGATCTCTGATACACAGCAATAATAACAGCACAAAGATGAAAACATTTATTTCGAATCAGTAATGTTATCTACACTGCTTCGGGGCTATACTGAAAAGAACAAAAATGTGAATGGGAAAAAAAGATACATAAAAGTCAGCATTAATGAAAAAACTGTTGTAAAAATTTGAGAAAAAACACCTTTATACCATGACCCTTAAACTTCCTCAATTGTATTTAAGTGCAACTCAATTATAGTATCAAACAGTTTAATTGTGCGAAAAAAGGGTTCACAATGAAAAGATGCGTGTAAGAGCCAGAAGATAAAGAGTTTTCCTATTCACAGTCACACCTCAGAAATACTTTGGTGCAACAGCACTTTGGCTAGTCACCTTGAAAAGAAGTATGGTAAAATGATCACTGAATTAAAGTTGAATGAATGAAATATAACAGGCAAAAGAGGTTTTATCCACACACAAAATAAAATAAAATAAAATAAAATAAAATAAAATAAAATAAAATAAAATATATTATAATAATTTCCATCTTACATATAAAATATGGCAGTTTTAAAAGAAGTACTGTACTACACTCCCTAAATTATTCAACTCCACTGAATGAGTGAATGAATAAATGAATGAATGAATGAATGAAACATAACAGGCTCAAAATAAAGCATGCACCAACGTGATGACAGCAAATCTCTGCACTGCCAGCTTTGTTTCTTAAAACCACTTGTAAACTATAGGATCCTCTCAGGTATGTCAGCAGCTCAGACAGGTAAGAAAGCTTGTCCATCACAGGTAACCTAAGGAGGCCGAACACTTCTGCGGTTATGCAACAGGTGAAGACAGTCTAGATGTGCTTACAGGTGATCAAAATGATTTTTATAATAGAGATGTTATGTTACCATGGTGATGTGTTTTATTTGGTTTTGGGGATGTTTTTAGGTGAAATACGAAAATTTTTATCTCGGTTTGTGCATCAAATAATATATTGCCACCCTCTTGTGATATACACCTAGAACACTTCATGCTGATGCTCCAGGCATCTATCCCTTGCATTGACAGTGTATTATCTCACATCTAACAGCTAGTACCCTTCTATTTCTACCTCTGAGAGTAATGACACAACACATATAACAGCATTATTTTAATCCAGATCATAGTAATAAATTTGCTTTTTTTTCAGTAATAAAATCCCAAATTCTCATTTTGTAAAACTCTTATGATTTACAGAGGCCACACAATAAATACCCTATCCTCTTTTATAAAAATCATAGAATCAGGCATAAATAAATAGTTAAGAGTGGCAGGTATCTGAACCCTCTGATTGTTATTGTTCCTCCCACTTCAAACCATGCTGGGATCTTCATGAGCCAAGGCATTTATCCATACAAGAAAAAAAGACAAAAAAAAAAAAAAAATGTAATATGGTAATCATTTCCATTTCACAAGAAAAAAAGTTTTATTTGTTATGTATGCCACAGTAAAAAAAGTTGCCAAAATAAAAATGTCAAACTTTTTTACACTGCAATGTAAAGAAGAAATAAACATCATTTTCCAACATGGCCCTCACCACCATAGAGATGACAAAGACCTCCCAATTCTTCTCCATTTATCATCCCAAGACCTATTACCATTATTAATTACATTGTATACAACCTCACAGTAAAGATTCATTTTGGGTAAGAAAATTGGGATTCCTCTGCACTCACTGGTTCTTTGTTAGTGTCCAGCCAGTAGACCCCAGGTTCCAGTGGGGCCAGGTATGGTATCAGACAGTACAATCCCATCCGTCAGGTGGGCCACCAACGTGTAATTAGGGATTTGATAGGCACCCATCATGCTATCGGATGTTATCAGATGCCCAGTTCTATTTTTTCTTGATTCTTTAAATCTTTTCCTATATCATAATTCTTGCCATTCCTGCAGGTTTCAGATAAGATTTTTGACCCGTTCTATTTATGTAAATTTTTCTTTTATCTGTAATCCTATACCCCCCCTCTCTCTCTCTTTTTTTTTTACAACAGGACATATGATATTACAGCCTACATAAATTCAGTGAATATGTTCCATCAATAAATCAAATTGCACTTATGACACTAAAACCTAAACAGGATACCAAATATATGTGAAGGCATATTCACCAAGTCATTATAAAAAAATCATATTAAAAACACACCTCTTATCAGTAATATATATCTCATCTAATTTCATCCAGCTGACACTGTGGAAATGACCCTCGCTCCACCTTTAATTATCACCAGTGTTATTCTAATAATGAAAACCAATCTGGTCCAGTCACAATAATGAAAAATGCCAGGAGGTAGTATACAAAAAGGAGAAAAAAACTTGAGAGAAATGTTGGAAATCTTTGCTGGCCCGACCCATTACCATCCCTGGCCACAGCAGGGTTGCCTAAATTGCTATCAAACTAATGAAGTCTGCGTCCAGTGTGGTCTGGTCCACCTGTCCTCTCTGCTGACCACTGGACCTGTAGGCATGGACCACTGGTGTGAGAGAGAGAGAGAGAGAGAGAAAGAAAGATGGAAGAGATGGGAGGAGGGGAAGAGAGAGTGATGAAAGGTAAAAAGCAAAGAAGAAAGTGAGTGAGCAAAAAAGAGAGATGAAGACAGACATTGAGAAAGGAAGAAGAAGAAGAAATAGAGAGAGAAAGAGTCACAGACAGACACACAAACACACAGAGAAAGATGGGTGAAGAAAGAAAGGAGAGAAAAAGAGATAAAGAGAGAGATGATGAAAGAGAGAAAGAGAGAGAGAGAGAAGGAAGGAAGAAAACTTATATGGGAAAATGACAGACAGACAGATGGAGGGAGGATGAGGACACAGTTGGCGCTTACTGAGTTTTTACATTACAATTAGTACCTAGTACTCTTTACTGTAGGTTTCTTTATAAAACTTCCCATAGCTGGTGATA